GATATGGAGATATGCAAAGCTTCATTTCTCACCAGCATCACCATCACAAAGCATCTCTCTCCAATCATCAGTATTGTAAATTAATAACAATTCGATTTATAATATCTATAATTATTTATTGTCAGTATTGACATGTTAAAATTAAAGGGTTAGTTCACCCAAAAATGAAAATTCGGTCAGTAATGACTCTCCCTCATGTTGTTCCAACCCCGTAAGACTTTCGTTCATCTTCGGGACACAAATGAAGATATTTTTTGATTAAATCTGAGAGCTGGATCACTCCTCAGCGCTTCTGTGTTGTACGTCACACGTAGGGTCACAGGTCATGTGTGTGTGTGTGTGTGACGTACAACACAGAAGCGCTGCGCTGTTACACTACGTGAAATCTCGAGGCCAACAGAAAAGGCAATGAATAGTTGAATAAAGTTGTTCTTTAGTTTGTTTTTGCGCACAAAAAGTATTCTCGTCGCTTGATAAACTTAAGGTTGAGCCACTGTAGTCACTCTGACTATTTTAATGATGTCTTTCATAACTTTTGGGCCGGTCAGTTTCAATCCCTTAAGAAGCCTATGGAGGAGTGATCCAGCTCTCAGATTTAATCAAAAATATCTTAATTTGTGTTCCGAAGATGAACTAAAGTCTTATGAGGGTGAGTAATTACTGACAGAATTTTCATTTTTGGGTGAACTAACCCTTTAAATTATCAACAATCATATACTTTTATATCAGTGCACCCATAGAAATGATATGTGCACATGCTCTTTTTTGAGCAAATCCAACAGACCAGAAAAAGCCCTTTCAGTCACACACAGACTGGGCTGAACACTTCTCAGACTTGGACTGGAAGTTCCTCTTGCAGAAAACTGTTGATTGCAAACATCTCATTCAACACAAACAAAAAAAAATAAGAAGAAAATGTATATCAAAATTGTTCAATTGGAGCTGCACAATTCTGGACAAATTGAGAACCACAATTTTTTTTGTTATTGTTTCAAATAGAGATTCTGAACAGACGGCTAAATAAATTACGTACATTTCTAGAGGTTCTGCAGTCCATTCAATTTAATTAAATGTTTATATAGAATGTAGAATGAAAAAAATGGTTTGATTGAATGATCCAATGGCTCATTTAAAGACTTCACTTGTTTCATTGCTGAATGAATCAGCGTTTTTGAACAAATCCCTTGAATGAATGATTCAATGATTCACTCATAAATACTTCACTTGTTTCATTGCTGAATGAATCAGCATTTTTGAACAAATCCCTTGAATGAATGATTCAATGATTCACTCGTAAATACTTCACTTGTTTCATTGCTGAATGAATCAGCGTTTTTTTTAACGAATCTCTCAAATTAATGATTCAATGACAAATACATTAAGTCATTTGCCTGTTACACTTGTAACAATGTAATCGATACAATCGTTGTTTGAAGTGCCATGTTACTTTCAAAAGGTGATTTGCTCTATTTTGATCGCTATCGTAGACATCAGTGTTTTTATCTGAACTATAAACTTTTATCCCAGTACTTCTGTGATCATTTGAATTATTGTAAAGCAGAAATAACAATACGGTGTGGTTGAAAAGACTGTTTGTGAAGCGGTTTCATACCTAAACATGATACCTGCTCTCTTCAGGCCAGCAGCAGAAGCGTGAACACAGATTTAAATGTTGCGGTGTGTTTTGTCAAAGGTTTAATAGACAGAAGAATTGTTGTCATTTAGGAATAAGATCGTGTGGCCGTTTGAATTGAGATTGCATCTTTTAACGATTAATCGTGCAGCTCTAAGTTCAATCAAATTTAAAAATCAACTACTTAACGCAATATTTGTGAATGCCATGCTTTTTTGATTATTATTGCATTATCTTAGCAACATGCTAACTGAAATGATTCTGCATTTTATTATGTGTGCAAACATGGCCGCTCGACACGTGCACTAGAAAGTTTCATTCTTGTCCAGTGTCTGCACTATTTCTCTCCAGAAGTCATGACCAGTAAAATGTCTTTGTACTTGTTTAAATGAGCACTCACAAAGGTTATATAACATAGAAATTCAAGCTATTTGCAATACAAGCTGATTGAGCGTACATTGTATACGCGTTTAAAAAAATCTGTACAGTACACACATACTACACTGATGATAAAATTGATGTCACACACACTGCAAAGGTAAACTAAAGGTGCCACATGTTAACTTAGTTGTCACAAACAAAGTAATCTGTATGACAGATAAAAATAATTGTATTTGCTGCATTCTCATTTTCTGCAGAGTTTTAGCAAAAGTATCTATTTTTCGAATGATGTCCCACGGTCCAGATGATATGGAAGCTTGTTTCCGCCACTGAATAAAAAATAAAAAAATAAATAATTGCGACTTTTTATCTCACAATTGCGAGATATGAAGTCAGAATTGTAAAAAATAGTCGCAATTGCGAGAAATAAAGTCGCAATTCTGAGAAATAAAGTTGCAATTGCGAGATATAAAGTCGCAATTCTGAGAAATAAAGTCGCAATTGCGAGATATAAAGTCGCAATTCTGAGAAATAAAGTCGCAATTGCAAAAAAAAGACTTTTGCGACTTTTAATCTCACAATTCTGACTTTTTTTCTCACAATTGCGAGTTTACATCTCGCAATTCTGACTTTATAACACATAATTGCGAGTTTATATCGAAATTCTGACATCTTTTCTCAGAATTGTGAGATGTAAACTCGCAATTGCGAGTTATCAGGCCAATTCTCAGAGTAGGAAAATTCTTTTCCCCTCAGAGTAGTTTATATCTCACAATTCTGACTTTATATCTCACAATTCTGACTTTATAACATGCAATTGCGACTATTTCACGCAATTCTGACTTTACAACACGCAGTTGCGACTTTATATCACGCAATTCTGACTTTATAACCTGCAATTGCGACTTTATATCAATAAATTCTGACTTTATAATCTGCAATTGCGACTTTATATCAATAAATTCCGACTTTATATCTCGCAATTCTGACTTTATAACACGCAATTGCGATTTTATATCACGCAATTCTGACTTTATATCTCGCAATTGTGAGAAATAAAGTCAGAATTGCGAGATGTAAACTCGCAATTGTGAGAAAAAAAGTCAGAATTGTGAGATAAAAAGTCGCAATTACCTTTTTTATTTTTCATTCCGTGGCGGAAACAAGCTTCCATAGGATGGAGCTAAGCCCGCCATACCACGGGTTTAGTGAATGCGTAAAAAAAGGAAGTATACTTTGGTCTTTAGTGGGCAGTGAATTTCTAACAGAACCCTTGTGTGATGAGGAGCCCAGTTAAAGTATAAAGTAAAGACCTCATTGTAACTATAAATCCGAGGTCTCAGAGTGGTCAGATCCAAAGGCAATCTCTTGTTGGATTGTTGGAGAACTCTAGAGAGTAAATAATAGACTCACAATGCTTTTTTTGTGATTTAACCATAGCCCACATTTACTGGAGATTTCCACCCCGAGGGAGGCGAAAACACATGATGGAGAAACCCATCTTCAGACTACATCCAGCGTTCAGCTCTCTCCACCCATTAAACAGACAACTAGGCCAATCAATACAAGCGCCTGCCTGACCATGTCCTGCATGCTTCCGCTCGGCACCACGAGTGAGATGAGGAAGGGAACACAACGAGTCTGTTAGCCAATACTACATGTGATGTGAGTAATCTAGCATGGGTCGCAATGGTGAAACTGAGCAATTTTCAGTTACACTTTATTTTAAGGTGTCATTGTTACAGTGTAATTATATATTTAAGTACTGAGTAATATTAAGCAAATACATGTACTTACTATAGGGTTAGGGTAGGATTAGGATTTGGTTGAGGGTTAGTTGCATGTAATTATGCATAATTTACAGTTATTACTATGGTAAGTACATGTAACATATGTAACAAGGACACTGTAAAATAAAGTGTTACCCAATTTTCTTATACTGTGCCTTAGCGGTTAAGACAGTTCGCAGTGTGAAACCCTTTCTGAAAAGCTGTTCCTTTAAATTCATCCCTTTTAGTGAACTGTGACCGCAAATATTGCATTGTTTTTATGCATATAGCCTTAAAAACATCTAGCGACTTTTGCATTCTGCTTGATTCTATTCCATAAAATTTTAGTTTAGGTAACCAATTAGTTGACTTTTTAAAAAAAATTAGCTTTGCAAATCCCTAGAGTTTTCTGATTAGCACAACCTTTGTGCCGATGTTGAGGAGTGGCAACTTGGACAGCTTTAAATTTAGAAGAACTTTTAAGCTATCCCAGATCTAAGGTGCTGCCTTTATAGCGTTAGTTCCAGTGGGAGAAAAGCAGCAACAAAGGGAGCACAGAACAGTAAGAGAACATGAAAGCTAATGCAGCACATGGGGGAAAAAAATGGAGAAGAGGTATTGGGAGCCCCTGAGTTGAAAGCAGAACCTCGTCACTAGTCATGTGCACCTGCTTTTTGCTGTTGGAGCCTAAAAGCCTTGGAATCCCTGTAAGCCTGGAAAGGCGGCGAGATGTCACTGATCAAAGTGGGTTCAACCTAGTACTCCAGTGAGCACCTGAGGTGTAGTAGTCTTTAAAAGGTGGGCACTCTCTCTTATCGCAAGACATCACGGCCAACAGCTTGTCATTCTGACAGTCGCCCAGTTACACCCATAGGCCAGGGACTCAACCTAACCCTCTGGAGTTTCTAGGCTAATCGCCAAGTTATCTCATACAGGCGTCTTCTCACATGATTGGCTCTTGTCCAACCATGTCATTCAACGCCAAGAGCCAATGAATAATCAGCTTTAGGGTCAGATTAGGTGGTTAATGCCACCTAACACTTGAACAATAACACAAATTATACAAGGCTAATGGAACATTATTATTGAGTATTGAAACAAAAGAATTGTACACTGCCAATCAACTGACTGACAATGTTATAACAATGACAATTTCAGCAACATTTCTCAAGAATAAGAATTAAAACATTACAATGAGGACAAAAAAATAAACTTACTTGATCCTGTCGGCATCTGATAAGGACTCCTGTAAGAAAGAGCATTAATTTAGTATGTGCAAACTGAATATCCTCTTACACAAAACAATCGGAGAAATCAGAGAGATGTATATTACAATAAATATTTCACATATCCTTAATACCCACACTGCTGTATATTTGTCTTTTATACCAAGAGAAATGCAAACATAACATTTCCTCAAGACTTGAATGTGAACTGATCTTATGTGTGGCTGTAAAACAATAAATTTTTAAAATGTCAAAGCTTCCTAAACAATGTTTTTTCCACATTTAATTGGTGATAAATCAGTTTCATATTATTGCACACATAGGAAACAGTTTTGATGGATAGACTTTTGTGTCCTCTAATTTCATTAAAGGAGAACTCCGGCGCAAAATGAACCTTTGGTCTAATTACACATTGTTACCTAGTCAACCGTTATCTGAGATTTGTTTTCATGATTATCGAATGTAAATAGTTTTATCTCTAAAAACAGTTTAGCCTATAAAGCTAGTATAACGCTAGTATATTGGGCATAGTGTAATGACAAATAAAAATCGCTTGTTAATACCACTAACAAGGCTCAAAATAGCCCCACACTAACACGGTAGCATAATGAGGGTCCCTACCTTCAAACCGAAGCATTGAGAACTTTGTCAGTGTCCAGACAGTTTAATAAGAAGATATTTTATACATACAGTCAACTTCGCGTATACAGGCAGAAGCCATCTTTGAAAAACAGTCTCTACCAGTTGATCTACGAACGCCGATCCAAGTGCGCTGGTGAGATGTGAACGAGCTATAAGTTGTGATAAGGTGAGCGCGAACAGCAGGCTTGGATCGGCGTTCGTAGATCGACTGGTAGAGACAGTTTTTCAAAGATGGCTTCTGCCTGTATACGCGAAGTTGACTGTATGTATAAAATATCTTCTTATTAAACTGTCTGGACACTGACAAAGTTCTCAATGCTTCGGTTTGAAGGTAGGGACCCTCATTATGCTACCGTGTTAGTGTGGGGCTATTTTGAGCCTTGTTAGTGGTATTAACAAGCGATTTTTATTTGTCATTACTCCATGCCCAATATACTAGCGTTATACTAGCTTTATAGGCTAAACTGTTTTTAGAGATAAAACTATTTACATTCGATAATCATGAAAACAAATCTCAGATAACGGGTGACTAGGTAACAATGTGTAATTAGACCAAAGGTTCATTTTGCGCCGGAGTTCTCCTTTAAAGAAAACACAGTAAATAAATTAAAACGAGACCTACATTGTGGCATGTATAAATAAAATATTACAGGTGAATGTGTATGTGTTGGATAATTCATCTCATGATTTTAATAAAAGCAAGTGACGCAGGGGAAGAATTTGACATCATACTCTGTGCTTTCAGCCAAACAGGTCAATATGCACATGCCTAGTGAAGCTATGAAACTGGTCTGACCTCCTGTTTTTTTTCTGCCAGCAAAATGTCCACCATATCCCACAGAGAAGAAAATGGCAATTTGTCTAATGTAGAGAAAGGTTGCGAACAACACTGTTTGTTTAAAGACTAATTATGTTTTTTGTTGTTGATGGATGAAAATCTCTGACAAATAAAACTGCACAGAACAAAAGTTCATGAAACACTGTCGCAGAAGTGACAATTGGGGATGGTGGTTTTAGTAAACGCTCATATTTAGAACAAAATATCCTTAGGAAACACCAGAACAACAGTGAGATGAGAATACTAGCCATGGCATTGGTACAATAAAGGAAAAGATCAGCCATTTAAAAAAAAAAAAAAGTTAATTAGAAAAGTCGTGCCAAACCTGTATTGCTTTCTATTGTTGAATACAAAACAATATCTGAGCTGCTCATTTACAGGTTCTTCAATGCAAGAGTGGATTGTATAGTATATTTTATATTATACATTGTATATTATATTGTATATTAGGTGGGGATAAAGTCAAAGAAATGTTGACAATAACGTACCTTGATCTGTGATAATATAGAAAAGGCAGTCACTTGTGATAAAGGTGTTTTCTCACTCTCCACAATAATGGTGGGAATCTCAACCTTTGGCAGCCTTGATTTATCCATATTGTCCTTTTGCAGGGCTTTGCTCTCTACATGGGGCAACTGGTGAAGTTGAGTCTGGTGTTGACCCCCCCGTAGACCCCTGTCATCCCCTTCAGAATCATTGCTGCCCCCCACCCGACTGTAAATTGGGCCTTCGGCTTTAGGACGGGCCCCTTCTCGATGGGGATCTGCATGTTGCTTTCCTGACACTCTCTCTGGACTGTCCTCTGCCATGTGCCATGTCTTGGGTCTTGCCTCACTTAATTTCTTGCCGGCTCTGCTATGCCGAGAAGCCCATTCATGCCACGGTCTGCACCGCTCTTCCTTTGTGTCATGATGATCCTTGAATTCGTACTGTTGGGGATTGATGTGGCGTTTGGTTTGGTTCTCTTTTAAAGACATTGTTGAATCGGGAAGGTGTTTCGTTTGGTTCTCTTTTAAAGACATTGTTGAATCGGGAAGGTTCCCGCGCAGTAACTTTAGATTGGCAGGGGTCATCACCCGGTAGGTGATTTCATCCAGAAATTGGGAAAATTTGACCTTCTCCTCAAGAAGCTGCATCTTCCAATCAGGTGGCATAGAGCTGGGAGATGTAGACGATGTGGAAGTAGCACGTCCAGTGGGAGAGACTCGCACGCCCTTTTCCCTGTCCAAGGACATGCTTTTGGGTTTCCGGCTACGTCCGCGACTTTGCCTCTGGCCTAGCATCTCTACCGACTTAGACTTGTGCAGACTATCGGAAGAGTACACCCCCAACTGATGAGAGTGCTTGAGGATGCCCTTGGGTGGATGGGCATCCATCACAAATGCTACATGTGGTGAACTCTGTTTTTCCCTGGGTACAAATATCTCCGCTTTCTCATTGAAGACCAAAGAGCGCTCGGCACTCCTGCTGGAGTGTGATGGGGAACTGCCTCGAATGCGATGCTGGGAGTCTTCCGAGGAGGAGAGATCGTCGTCAGCAGAGAGTGCCAGTAGGTCATCACTACGACTGATAAAGCGGTTCATTCTTTGTTGCCGGAGATGCTTGGGAGGAAGTCTCATGCCGAGAGAACAGTGGCTGAAGATTCGTGGTGGAGGGAGGACACTAAGCTCCAAACTAGACAGACTCGAGACATCCAGCTCGCTGTCAGATGCTTGCGACCATACGGGTCTTTCAGGGCATTGCGGGTAAGGGCCTGTAAATTGTGTACGCTGCAAAATAGGTGCATGATTTCGGGGGGAAATTACCTGGGAGGGGTCAGGCTGGGCTGACGACGCAGGGTTTCCGGATGGCAAGGCACTCCCACTAACATCCTCTCGAAATACTGGAACAGTGTGGCGAGTCTCGCGGTGCTGCGGAGGTGCCTTTCGGTACGGTTTCCGGGCGGGAGCAGCACTCGTCATTCTGGTAGATCAGTGTGTTTCCATACACTGTCCGTTAGTCCTGCCGAGAGAGAAGTGTGAGAATCCAAAGTAGCAGTAGCCTTCAACCCTGTCCTGTGCAAAAAAGACTGTCCCTATCCTCTCTCTCTCTCCCCCCAATGTGCCACCCTCCCTCTTCCTCTCTAAGCGGCAACGTCAAAAAAGCAGTTCGAATCAATAGGCTTTGATCAGCACCATTGGGCAGTTAAAAACACAACAACCAGTAAAAAAACAGCTATGGATGTAACAGACAGCACGAGTTGATACAGAGAAATTGAGGGGCAAAAAAGCCTCAAACATCTGTCTATACTTCAACTGTGAAATGAGGTGTTTATCATAATCTGTGTAGTAAATTGAGGAAAGATGAGAATGGGAGAAGAAAGACAAAAAGAGATACTGGATACAGAGCGTTATAGACACAAACATAGAGGCACGAGGGGGAAAAGTGGACTTGTTTTAAAGCGGGTGATTGATTACATGTTGGAGTGTGTTTCCAATAGACAAACTGTTAAACCAATGCCAGCATGACTCTTATCGATCACAGGAAGCTATGTATAGAATTGGAAAAGTGGGTGTGCTGTTGGGATCCAATCACTTACAGAGGCACGTCGGGCTGACCCACAGTATATTCACTGTCATTCAAAATCAGTTTCAATTCAAAATACTCAAATTCAGTTCAGACAATACTAGTTTTCCCAAAGGGAGTTAGGCAAATTTGTAAAACATAGACGAACTTTGCAATTGGAATCCCATCCGATTTTTTAACACAAGATATTGAAATAATTACCAACTGTTTTTTTTGGTTGTTCCCAGGCAGCTAGAAATGTCCAATTACTCATACTTTGGTAGAATACCATAACTAAGGCAAAAATTCTTATTGCACTGTCTGGCAAATCTTCATTGTGGATTTAAAACGTATTGCCAACTTTCTGTGTGGAACAACAGTTTATATTTAACAGCTTTTATTAATGATAGTTGATAATAGCTCCTGCCTGAAGTACTGCTAGTATCTGACATAAAAAGAATATGAAATTAACAAAGGTGCGGATCACAAACTGCTCAGTTCAGCCACGATAGTAAAAACTACAGAGATCTCAATCCTGTACAAATCAGTACATGTTCAAAGTCATCCTATGTTAATATTTGTAAATGTTGTTTAGAAATCTAATCCCGTTCAAACAGTGCTAAAGTTATCCAGCAACACCATTAGATTGTAAGATGAACCCAGTGTGATCCTGCTAATGCTGCCAAAAACGTCTGCTGCAAAACATGCTTCTGTTTAAGCACTTGCAGAAACTAGGATAATAAAAATCCTTACCCTGTAGGTCCAATTTTCACATATTTGACCATTTGATGTAATCTTGACATGTGGTTGCTTGAGGCACTATACACAAAACAACTTTGTGGGCGAGTAAGTTTGAACCAGTCAAAGAAAGTAAAGTTTTAGATCACTTGCTTTTGCTTCATCACTGCATTGGCTCGGCTCCCTGTACTCAGAAAGCTACACGAGTGCATAAACCATAATAGCAGGCCATGGTTAGCACTCAGATTCACTCCACTTCTTCCTGGGTCACACCTTCCCCTGCAGGAAGAAAGCCTTCTTTATTGCTGTGGCTATTTTTAAAGTTCCTGACTGGTAAAATGGGAAAAATGAAGGGAGAATTGGCTGGTGTGTCACAGTGTGGTGCCACTAAGAAATCAATGGTGTTCCCTGCGCATGCTGCTAATGTGCTGCGGGGCACAGGCTGGGACACACATATATACGCACACGCGCACGTGAGGGGGTCACTGCCAAAATGTGCCACTTATTGGCAGGCTGATTTTCCCTCTTGGCGTCATCCTCTACCCACAATGCAAAAACACACCGGGCCTACACAACCAAACACAGCAAGTAGAACTAAATGTGTTTGTAAATGCCGACACTGAAAATATATTTGACTTTAATCAGCAATCACATCTGAACTAATAAAGTTCACACAACAAAATCTTATCCTCTTATCTGAACAGATATCTTATCACCCAGTCTGTCAAACATTTGGACTTAAAGTCCCCCTGTGGTGAAAATCAAGCTTTTAATGTTGTTTACATGTCTATGTGAAAATATAGATGTATATTACGATGTTATGACGAACTAAATGCCTTTTTCCACGGACGTTCTGAGTTGTTCAAAGTGTTTCTGATGATTGTTAGAAGGCAGACTGAGACGGCGAATTAGAACATGGTTTGTGTAACGTTAGCAACACATTATTAGCGGTTTGCTAACATAGTCAAGCAAAAGGCTAATCATATTAATTACCGTGATGTGTACGACGTTGTAAAGAGCGACACCATTGTGCAGCGTTTACCTCAGTGAGTTGGCCGAGTGGATTTCTGAGCGGGTGTGAGTGAGTGGAGGCGGGGCTAGTTAGCATATTCATAGACCACGTGTACTAAATGAAGCAAGGGTATAGAGACTATTTGAAGGCATGAAGAATTTTTTTTCACAGGAAAAAACTTATAAAAATATGTCATTTTGGTGATCGAAGAGGAGTTTTAGGGGATACAATTATTGACTACGGGGGACTTTAAGTTCAAATTCTACCAACACCAACTATAAAAGAAACCTAAGTTATATCAATCTAACTGTTTATCTATCTTGTCTACCAACCAACTTACCTATCTTACGATTCAAAAGTGTATCTACTACCATTTGTGGAGTTTACATGCTTACATTCATTATCAAGGTCTAACAAATATGTGGAATGTCATATGATATGGAAAAAAAAATATTGTGATAATGTTTTTGGCCATATCGCCCAGCCCTAATTCTAAGACAGAATAATACACCACTGTTTTGGGAGATTCTGTCAACTTGTCCTTTTTAAAACAGCTAAATCCAGATTAAATGTTTCCTTGTACCTTCTAAATCTTACAAACGTTTAGGGCAGAAGGCCTGAAGCTTTTGTTGCTAGTCACGCAAGGGCTGAAAAAAAGCCTCAAAAACCTAGTGGGAAATTTCTGAGGGGAAAAAAGCCGAGTCAGGACAACACTCCTCAATTGCTTTTTGAGATTTAAAACCAAACGGTTTTAACCAATTGGTAACAGGCATACACATATTTTCAAAAATGCCAACCATCACCTGTGATACTAACAGGTACACAACTGCTGTTCAATGGATAACCGGTGACCAAACTATGCCAGACGATGTGCCTCATTTTAACCAACAGTCTCTGTTCTAACATGCTCTGGTCTCAGGTGTGTGTGGAACTTCTCGCACCATTTGATTGTGTGCACTAGAAGGTGTCTGTTGATGTCTAAGGGTGATTTCTACTCTTTCAGAAGCCAATTAAAGCTGCTTTCAGACCGTTTTAAACATTGCACACCTTAAAAAGCCTCACAGCTGAGCCTTCTATTCGTCATGGCAGAACTAATGACTGTGGCTGAGGGTTACAGCTTTATGTGAACAGAAGGGATGGAATTACAGCACATACTGACCTTCACACCATCACATGCCCACACAGATGCTGCAGAGCTTCCTTTCAGAGGAATCTGACATTGTTCAGGCAGATTGTACACTTAATTAAGCAGCTTTAATTAAACCGTACTCTGCACCACAGATAAATCAGGTCTCCAAGTCAGATGGGCTCCAATTGTGAATTTTGATATATTAAAAAAATTAGAAGTATATAACATTACTACTAGAACTGGGTACTATAATGAATATCAATAATTTATATATTGATGTATTTTTTATTATTTTGATAGCAATGTAAAATTAACCTGTTGGGTTTTTTTTTTAGCCACTGTTTTCTAAAGACGCTAACATTTTCATATAAAGTTGTTAGACGAGACCTCACATACTGTACATGCAGTGATTATTTGATATATATATATATATATATATATATATATATATATACAGTATGTTTATATAACTCCACATTGCTAAATTTGATCATGTTGTGTGACTTTCAGAGATTCATATTGTAACTATGTTGTTCCAGTCAAATATTTATGATACTTTTCAGAGTGTGAGCTGCTGTTTTATGTAGTTTTAAACCATTTTCAATAAAAAAGTAGTATTAATTAATTACTTTAGACAACTCTTGCAATTTTGCTGGATTTTTACTGGATACCAAAAAGTAGAAAAGGTCCTTGTTTCCGCCACAGAATATAAAATAAAAAAGGTAATTGCGCCTTTTTATCTCACAATTCTGGCTTTTTTTTTCCTCAGAATTGCATGATATGAACTCACAATTGCGAGATAAAGTCAGAATTGCGAGATATAAACTTTGTGACTTTATAAAACGCAATTCTGGAAAAAAAAATCTCTCGCAATTGAGTTAATATCTCGCAATTCTGACTTTATAACTCGCAATTGTGAGTTTAAATATCGCAATTCAGTCAGAAAAAAATAATAATAACAATAATTCTTATGCCAGAATTGCGAGATATAAACTTGAAATTCCTAATAAAAAAAAGCTTATATCATCTATCATGCAATTCTGAGAAAAAAGGTCACAATTGTGAGATGTAAACACAATTGTGAAATAAAAAGTCACAATTATCTTTTAAAATGTTTTAGTCTGAGGTGGAAACAGGCTTTGTTAATTTATTGCTTTGCATTATTTGTCATGCTTAAAAACAATAGTGTTTAATATATTTCACAAAGCGTGAGAAGTCTGGATTGCATAAGTTTGGATAGTCAGACAACAGGACGTTCTGCAGTCTGCATTGTGAAGTGAAGTGGCCACTGAGCCAGCGTGACGCCCACTTCTGGCACCTCACACACTTCCTCTTACTGTAGATTCAGACAGAGATCATTCTCAGTTCCCTGATGACTTGCATATCAGATGATACAGGCCGAGTAAAACAGCCTGCTTAAATAAACTCAGCTTTTTAGAGGACATGCAGAATGTGTCATCCTGTGAGCCATGAGTTGTGTTGGGACTTGGTCTTGGTCTAGTTTTTGTACCTTGCCAGGTTTAAAATCATGAAACATGAAATGGTGTTCACAACCCATTTGAATTCCAAAGCAACAAGATGAACACTGCAACAATAGTACAATATTAATTTATGTATTATTAATGTACATTAATAATTAAAAATGATGTGATAAACTAATAGATTAAAAATAAATATTTAAGAATAATATGAATTTATATTATTATTACTATCCAGCTAGTGTGTGTGTGTGTGTGTGTGTGTGTGTACTAGTACGACTATCTTTGGGAGGACCAGTTTGAGTTTTAGACCATTGGAGTGAGGACAAACAGAGTAAAGTGAGGACATTTTGGCCGGTCCTCACTTTCTGAGACCCCTTTAAAGGCCTGTTTGAGGGTCAAGACTTGGTTTTAGGGATAAGGTTATAATTAGGTTAAGGGTAGGTTTAGGGTAAGGGTTCGGGTTAAGCACTTAGTTGTGATGAGTAAGGTTAGGGTAAGCGGCTAGAGATTGCATTGTGTCAATGAATGTCCTCATAAAGATAGATGTACAAGAGTGTGTGTGTGTGAGAGAGAAAGTAGCACCTGTATTTTGCCATGGACAGCAATCAAATATGAATTACAGTTTAGTAGTAATTTTACAAAAATATCCGACAGCTCAAGCCAGTACTGACTAATCAGAACCAAGTGTTTCAGAACCAAGCTACGCAATAAGACCAAGAATGTGTTGTGTATTGAAAAAGTAAAAAGGGGCAATTTTGACTATGACCTTAAAGGGCAATATTGCAGGTTAGAGAACCCAACGAGTCAGTGTATAGAAAAATAATGTAGCAACTAGATTTTCTTTAAAATATTCTTATAAATACGCTACAGACGCTTCTGGAGTCGTTTTTGTGAGAAAATTTTACTTCCGCGTCTGAAAATGGGCGTGGCGGGCGTGACGTAACGGGCGGGAGAGCGGTCGATTCAAACAACAGGAAAACAATGGATCACAATGACATTTCGGACGCTGAGGAAATACTTATTCGTATGACGGACCACAGCAATACAGTTATGAGCCTGCTATGCTGCCAAGAGAGTAGGGACAGGCCAGGACTAATGTCAGACAGAACGGTCAGAGACACATTGAGTTGTGGTGTGAGGAGAACCAGTGGAGAACAGGACAGGTGCTTGGTGAGAGACGTGCTTATAGATACACGTTTGCTAACGATATACACTGTGCTCACAATATTGTACAGATTATTACCATCGTATATCAGGCCAGCAGACATTAGTATGTTTAGGGTAGATTTATACTATTAAATGTATAAAAACTATACTTGAGTATTTCAAACACTCATTTCCGACGAGAGCCGGCGACGAGCTCCGGCAAGGGCGGCGCGTCTTGGAAGTTGAAGTCAGGTCAACTTTATGGTAATGAGCTATGACGCGGTTCGGCGGCAACCGATCGGAATTGAGAAGTGCTCCGTTTGAGAGGATTCCAGAGAACGCAGTCCTGTAAACTTTGGTTCCGACCTCATTAGTTCCCAAGCAAAATAGAGGAGAGGATGATCATTTGAATTTGATAAGGCGGCGCGCAACACTATTTATAGGCAAGATTTTCGCGCTAGAACGCTTGTTTTTCAGCGGGAATGCAAATTAGATTAGCACTTAACCATGAACACAAAAGCCACACCACACAAATGGCTTTTAATTGGTTTATTTAGTTAGCAAAGATGTCACTATAATTGTTAAGTTCTTTCCATCGATCAATGTATTACTTTCACCTTTTTGTTTCCATGAGGTTAACTTGTATCCTACTTGGTCAGTCTGCAAAAATAACGATCGACATGCTTGTTTGCTTTGCTGCCCCTTTAAATACAGTTTAAAAAAAGACCAAGCATTCGATCTACGTCAGAGCGTCCACGAATCTTTCCACGGCGTCGTTGGCAGGGCTACGGCAAAATTCGCTCTCGCCGGCGGTGGTGTGAACGCACAGTAAGGCCCTGATATACTTAAAGGAGAACTCCGGCGCAAAATGAACCTTTGGTCTAATTACACATTGTTACCTAGTCAACCGTTATCTGAGATTTGTTTTCATGATTATCGAATGTAAATAGTTTTATCTCTAAAAACAGTTTAGCCTATAAAGCTAGTATAACGCTAGTATATTGGGCATAGTGTAATGACAAATAAAAATCGCTTGTTAATACCACTAACAAGGCTCAAAATAGCCCCACACTAACACGGTAGCATAATGAGGGTCCCTACCTTCAAACCGAAGCATTGAGAACTTTGTCAGTGTCCAGACAGTTTAATAAGAAGATATTTTAAACATACAGTCAACTTCGCGTATACAGGCAGAAGCCATCTTTGAAAAACTGTCTCTACCAGTCGATCTACGAACGCCGATCCAAGTGCGCTGGTGAGAATGCGAACGAGCTATAAGTTGTGATAAGGTGAGCGCGAACAGCAGGCTTGGATCGGCGTTCGTAGATCGACTGGTAAAGACTGTATTTCAAAGATGGCTCCTGCCTCTATACGCGAAGTTGACTGTATGTTTAAAATATCTTCTTATTAAACTGTCTGTACACTTACAAAGTTCTCAATGCTTCGGTTTGAAGGTAGGGACCCTCATTATGCTACCGTGTTAGTGTGGGACTATTTTGAGCCTTGTTAGTGGTATTAACAAGCGATTTTTATTTGTCATTACACTATGCCCAATATACTAGCGTTATACTAGCTTTATAGGCTAAACTGTTTGTAGAGATAAAACTATTTACATTAGATAATCATGAAAACAAATCTCAGATAACGGTTGACTAGGTAACAATGTGTAATTAGACCAAAGGTTCATTTTGCGCCGGAGTTCTCCTTTAAAGCGAAAGTCATTTCTGACAACATCAGACCAAAACATGTTTGTTTCTGGAGTTTGAAACGGCTTGCCAAAGCAAACTTTCCAGAAAAGTTCACTCTGGCTGGTTAAACACCTTCGAACTACTATTGGTCCGTGGCGAATGCGTAATAGGTGGGTGTGGCTCTGAGGCTCCGCCTTCTTTGCCAATTTCCATGATGGAAATCTTCTCCAGTTCAGTCCGTCGAGGTCAGGCGTCCGTGAGTGAAACATGAACACACTGGAGGAGCTGCTTTACAGTAGAAAATGAAGATGTACTTCTGATGAAATGAGCCTAATACTGTTTTTTCAAGTTTAATACTGTAAAGCTGCTTGCTTTTAAACAATCTATTGTATAAAGTGTATGAATAAACGTGACTGGAGTGGCGAATTGCAAAGCTTGTGCAAACATATCTATATCACTACATCAGATGCTTTCTTAAGTGCTGTTTTCTCACCGCTCTCATTTTTGTGTTTAATTTGTTCTTAGTAGGAAAGCGTGCAGCACATATTTACATATTCAACTAAACGCCGCTGTCAGCTAACAGTGTATCACATATTTCAAATTTCTTTTTACCTCTAAGGGTAGACTGAAAAAGAACTTGGCAGCAAGATGTGAAAGACAGACAGATAGAGTTCATGGGAAAAGGAAAAAACATCAATTTTGTTGAGGAAAAAAACATTTCCTTCCCGGAACAGCCAAATCTCAGTAAATCTCTTTCATCGTGCCTGAACTGAAGACGACTGTAAGAGAACATCATGAGACACAACTGTGTATCAAAAGAGAGCTCTGTAGAGACATGTCATCTTCCAATTAGAGCTATTTCTGGAGGCCGTTTGTCAGCTAAGCAAGACAAGGATGCACAAACACAACAAATTGTTTAGATTGTGTGTTTTCATACCCGAAACTGGAGTTGGTTTCATTCAGTGGTGTCCTCATTCACAGGTTCTCAGGCCCAGAGCGTCTCTGAAACACACGTTTGCTTGGGTTACTGAAATGCGATTTGTCACAGTTTTGCAACATGATCTATGAAGAGAAAGACATTTAAAAATAAATATCAGCATCAAAACAGGACAAGAATTCAATCTAATCCAAATCATGTGGTCAGAAAATCCAGACATGCATGTGAATAATAAAAGTGACATTTATTTATACCCCGAGGGATTATACAGAAAAGAAATATGTAAGAGTAAACAAAAATATGCACTGAATAACTAACAATACTGTTGAGATATTGATACAAAATGCAAAACACAAAGTAGTTTTTATGTAAGTGCTCTAAAAAATGAATTTTCTTTAATCTTCAGTCAGGTGAACCCCTTGTTACAACCCTCCCAGCCAATCAGATTTAACACATTTATTGCAAAAAGTGAAATCTAGAGGGAAAAAATGAACAAGGACTTTATGCTGAGTGACAAAATAAATTGATTAAATCACAATTTTACATTGATTTATTGAACTGATTGGCAGAAATGAATCTCTAATGCCGTTTTTTGCTACAGAAACAAAACATTTGCATGCATAATCCTGAAACATTGAAGATTCCAGCTCAATAGTGGAAAACAGCATGAGTAGAAATCGGGATGGTATAAATATAAAACATCACATTAGCATCTGGTTTATAAATTCACAACTTTATAAACTCCAAGTGAACTCCTGTTTTTTGGGGGTTTTTTTGTCTGCCACGAGACTCGCATCACAAGTTATATATGAATAATATCAGTCGGGGTGTTCAGTCAGAAAACACCTCATTCAGTCACAATTGTTTTTCTTTGCCTAATTAACACAGAGACTGCTCATTAGCAGTGTATCCGACAGGCCTCCTCCCTCACTTACACAGCAGAATAATGAACTCCTGCGCGACACACACACACTGTGTGCAAGGATGAATGACATAAGAGTCATTACAGCAAATTACTGTATAGAGTGTCAGGTCACTGGAAAAGGGGACAATTTGGTTATATATTATGGAAGGTAAAGCCTGTAGATAGAATGATAACTGGTACATGCTCAGGGTAATACGCAATAAGATAAGTTTAGATTAAGGACACTGCACCATAGTAGAGAATTTTTTTTTTTATTATTGTAATCAAATATTACAACAAAAGGAAGTTCAACATGGTATTTAAGCATCGGGCCCTTTTCCTTACATAACAGAATGTATAAAAATAAAATGTTCAAACGGCAACACTGAGGAAAGAAAACATGAACTCACAACTGACCTGATTTAGTTTCTTAAAATAACTAACAACTTTATTTCTACTTTGGAAAGCAAAAAGAATATCTTGAATGATCTGTTCAGATTATCAGTGAGTAACAACTTTCTACTTCAAAATGTCACGCTTAATTCAATGTATAACTTGCAGTTTCTTTTAATATTCCAAGGTTAGTGCATAAAATGGGCAGAAATCTCCATATTTCACCATTTTTATTAGTTTTTCATAAATCATTACTATTGGTCACACTTTACACGTGTCTGTGGGTTTTGTAAATATTTAACCAGCGAAAAAAGGGCTTGTGACTAAACCTCGTCACTCTATTGGATCCTCAAACTGTCAGTCAAACCTCATAACCCCGCCCACCTCTATCGTGAATGAAGAGCCGCACAAATTTTGGACCGTTTGCAATGTAAGGTAAATAAAGAACTGGTAGTTTGAACAAGTACAGCGCTTTCTTTACTATATATAAAGGCTAATGTTTAATGTATTTGAGGAGCGGAGAAGACAATAGCATTGGTTGTCGAGTCACAGCCAATACTGTCTGAAATATCATATGCAAAGCACTTTGTCTTTAGTAACGAAGATATTGACCAAATGATAGAAAAAAACTAAGAGTCCACATAGCCACAGTAAACTTTATAATCTGTAAGTTGATGAAAACATACTGAGATGCACTTGCTGCCTCAGATTTGGCTGTTCTAATGATGGACAATACACTTAGTCCTGTAGTCAATAACTGTATCCCTTAATACTCATCTTTGATCACCAAAATTAGATATTTAAAAGATTTTCCTTGAAAAAAAATGTCTTCATGCCTTGAAATAGCTTGAATGTAACTCTACACCCTTGCCTCGTTTAGTATACTCAGTTCTATGAATATGCAAATGAGCCCCGCCTCCACTCACTCACACAGCTCAGAGATCCACTCGTGGACGATCACACGTTGATCTGATTGGTTACAAGGTTGTTTGTGACGTCAGAAACACCAGCGATTTCAAACCGTGTTTTTGAGACTGTCTTTGGTTCACTGCAGTTTTAAGGAGAAAATACTCAGCAATGGTTTGTCTTATGAATTGGCACATGGTTTGTCTTAAAGCATATTAAAAACACCACATAGACATATAAACACCATTAAAAGCTTGATTTTCACGACTGGGGGACTTTAAGTATGTAATTTGCTGGTCAAACACCTCGTAACTCCATTTAACCCCCTGGGGTCGGCAATCACGCCGGCGCGACGGGCTCACTTTTTTTCTTATCAGTGCAAAAGAGACTCAAATTACTCTGTTGATTTTGATCTTACATATAAGTGTTGTACATCATTAGATACTGTTAAGTGTCTATTTTTTTTGTGGATACTTTTGTGGATTTCGCCAAATAAAGAAAAAAAACATGATGCGAGTTCTGTGTACTCTCTGTCAGTGAAGTTCATTCTGAAACGCGTCCGAAGATTAACTGTAAGTACATAGTTGTCACACAGGCACGAAAGATTTTTCGTTATAAAGCTGAAATTCTCTTCTTTTAAATGAAGTAATTTATATAAAAAACAACTATTCTCAGTTTATGTAATCTGTATGAAAAGAGAGAGATGTCAGTCTTTTTCCTTTCAGCTAATTATAGCGTATGACGTGTTAATGTGACCACGCCCACTGAGAGCGCGCGCTACTCAAACGTTGAGGCAAGCCATGAAAACGCCCACATCAGCTGGATAAAACATCCAAAAAGTTACCTCAGAAGTGCTGGTAGTTTCATTTCGAGGAGCACGGATCCAGCTGATGAAGTAAGTTTATTCTTAAAGACCCACTCCGATGAAAATAATGTTTTTCTAGGTGTTAACATGTTCTTGTGGCATTTTTCTGATGTTAGAGGACATATCTTGAGAAAAATAAGCTCAAAGTTGTATTTCTGAGTATTTCTACATTCAAATGGCTGTGAAGTAGCAGACGCTAAAATGCCGGCTAAAATAGACTGGAGTTGTGACGTAGTAACTCCACTGGGCGTCTCCACACGCGACGTCTTGGAGTGAAATAATGATCGGTGATCGGTGATAACTTTGATTAACTTCGGATAATAATAATTAACGTGTATATAATACTGTTGCCCCACCGGTATTGGGGGTGTAAGCTAGCGGGAGAGACAGAGCTCTCAGCAACGGGCAGGGGGAGGGTCGTCTCCGTGCCAACAGCTCCGCCCACAACACAGAGGCGAATTGCTAATGAGCTGCTGCCGCTCTGCTGAAGCGAAGTCCCAGAAAACGGCACAGGTTTTGTGATTTTGGCTAAAAATGGCATAATCATAATTTAAAGACCACTGGGAATGTTTAAAAATAGCTCAAAATATGATCGGAGTGGGACTTTAAGTGCTTTGTTCTAAATATGAATTGCGTGTCTGTGTGTGAATGAATGAATGGCACAGACGCGTGCACGATGTTGTTTACTACAGATGTACATCGCATCTGTGCGTTCATTCACTCTCGCTCCTACATTAGTAAACGTTATTTTCACATGAACACATCCAAACTATATTGCTATAGCCAACTAAGATTTGTTCTAATCGCGATATAGAATAGTGTCTGTAATGACAACATGTCGTTGACTAGTTTTGGATAGATTATAAAGTTTTTACTCTAAAATAGACATCAAATAAGCTTTTGTTAGGCAGTTTCTGCTCATATGTTAAATATATAGTATGTTTTGTCAAAAATAAACTAATCAACTGTTATAATGTTTGTTCCAATGCAAGCTAGGCTATATCAAAATAATGAATCCTTAACTTTGAAATATGTATGATAAAATGTATTGCCCTACTTTAAAAAATAATACTTTATAAGAGATGTATGGAAAAAGACAATTTTCTTTTCAAGATGTTTCCAACTCTAACTTTGAACCAATTCTATAGAATGGCCCATATAACCTATTTAACCCCCTGGGGTCGGCTATCGCGCCGGCGCGATTGTCTCGCTTTTTTTCTTATCAGTGTAAAAGAGACTCAAAATACTCGGTTAATTTTTAACTTACATATAAGTGTTGTACATCATTAGATCCTGTTAAGTTTCTATTTTTTTTGTGGATACTCACAATAAAAACAAAGTGTTGTGCTTTTCACCAAATAAAGAAAAACAAACATGATGCGAGTTCTGCGTTCTCTCTGTCAGTGAAGTCCATTCTGAAACGCGTCCTAAGATTAACTGTAACTCCGCGATTACTTGTCACACAGGCACGAGAGGTTTTTCTTTATGAAGCTTAAATTCTCTTCTTTTAAATGAAGTAATTTATATAAAAAACAAATATTCTCAGTTTATGCAATCTGTATGAAAAGAGAGTGCTGTCAGTATTTTTTCCCCCAGCTCATTACACTTCATTACGCGTTAATCTGACACGCCCACGGAGGACGCGCGCTATTCAAACGCAAATGTCGAGGCAAGCCATGACAATGCCCACATCAGCCGTTCCACCGCGGCGGTAAAATGTGTGGTGTATTTGCTGCCTTTTACCGCTAAGAGGCGCTACAATCATAGACTCTGAAAAGTGTTCGTTTATTCCGGTTTATTCTCTCTAATGCGTAATCTGCTGCCGCACCGCGCTGATTCAGAGCGATTGAATGCTGGTAGCAGAAGAATTCAACAAGTGAAACGTAGTTAAAATAATTCATAATCACAATACTGAAATTAGGCTACTGAAATGTAATTGAATAAATAATGAAAACATTTCAACATAAAAACATTGCAATAAAAACATTTAGGCTACA